AGCATTGTGCTTGCGGGTACTAACCCGCTTTTCTGCGCAAAAAGAAGAACCAACTTGAAAAAAGCGCCTCGCGGATATCGCAACATGTGTGGCATGTGTGGTGTAACTTTCTTAGCCCAACATTTTGCAGCAAGGCGAGGGGTGACCGGTTAACGTCATTGTTGTGATGCTACGGCATATGACGCTACAAAAGAGACTCCAAATGCGTTTGCGTGGGTGCGTCATTTCCCAGCTACTCTTGTAGCATCAACAGCGCCAACCGCCAACCGGCTTACTTGCGTCAACCCAGAAAACGCACGAAAGTGAAAAATACCATAATGTTTTCACCAGTCCATTTATTTTCCTCCTTCCTCAAAAAGTCGATTCAGAGTAAAAACGGACGCGCTGGGGCTCCAAAACAAAGCAGTGATGAGAATAGCCGCAAAACAATACGTACGGGAAGAGCACAGCTGGCTTTCCCAGAGAACGCCGATTCAACACACCCCGACGGAGTGCGAGACGCACTTACCGCTTAGAGGGGTCCCGGAGTTTGCTGATCTTCCTGAACATGACCGCCTCGTGAACACGCTGCGTCTTGATGCGCTCGTACTCGTCTTGGACCTGTAACACAAATTATCGCCCGGACACAGCGGAAGGCAGGCGTGCGTGTATAGGGGAGGGTCAAGTAATTGAGAGGGCTTCTAGAGGACACATGCGTTGTTCGACTCCTTCGTCACGAGCCTGACCTCCACGTGCAGAAGATATGGCGAGAGACAGAGCTAAAAGAATAGGGTGCTTCATCAGAGGGGTGGATGGACTGGCACTCACGTGCGAAGCCTGCTTGCGGGCAGGAGGACGCTGCAAGATAGGCGAACGCTACACTTAGGATTTCTACAAGATATCACAGACGGCAGGGAGGCACACGCCCGGACTGAAAAGACAAAACTAACTCCTCCTTTTTTTCTCATTTCACCTTCTAGACTAAATTAACAACCCAGGCGCATTTCGAAAACCACACACCTACGCGGGTCGAGACAAGGCCACGACGAACACCACCAAAATCGGCCCTCCACCTCCATCAGTAACTACTCACCGCCCCCTGCTCGTCCCAGTCGTCATCGCTCTCGTCGTCGGAGCCATCCTCCGGGCCCGCCATGATGAGCCTCCTGCGGTTGAACAGTTCCTCATTCACGGCCAGACCCAACGGCTTGAGCTCGCTGCCCCCTCCCCCGCGCCCACTGAGGCCTCTCCCCCTTGCACTGCCGAAACCGTATCTCGAGGAGGGTCTGATCGACTGCCGGGACGAGATCATTCCCCCGCCGCGCATCCCGCGCCCGCCGCGGGTGCTGGGGGCGGCGGTCATGGGCGGAGGGGCGGAGGCTGCTGCTTCGAGCTCCTTCTTTGCCTTTAGTTCTCTCCTGCGGGTGAGACATACGAGAAGCGGGGAGGGAAAAACGCACATGTAAATATGATGTGCATATGTTTATATATATATGTCCCTCTACAGTTTTTGTTGACGGTGTGGGGATGGATGCAAAACCATGACAACTGTCGGCAGCAGCACGCAGAAAACGAACAAAGACACCATGCGACAGGGACAGGAAGCAGCAGCAGCAGCACGGCATCAACTGGAGCCATTGTATCCATCTGGTAGACGCCAAAACAGCGTAAGTAGTAACGAAAAAAACGGAAACGACCCTTTTCCTCCTCCCCGTAGACAAAGAGCCTACAAGACAGACGGCAGCACAAAACAAACAAAAACGCACGCACAGACACACTACGCAGCGACACGCCAACCTGCTACAAGTACTACCACACCGCCAACCTGCTACAAGTATTACCACACCGCCAACCTGCTACAAGTACTACCACACCGCCAACCTGCTACAAGTACTACCACACCGCCAACCTGCTACAAGTACTACCACACCGCCAACCTGCCAGACCGCCCCGAATTGTCTCCTCCTCTGTCCCCGCACGCACCTCTTCATCTCCTGGGCCTCTCTCTTGCGACGACGCTCCTCCGCCTTAACCTGTAGCTCGTTGTCCCTCACGGCGACCGCGATCATGTCCAGCAATGCCTGCCCAAACGGATGCACACCGTAAGGCAATGACGTTCGCCTTCCATTTATACATGCGCGCGAGAACATGCATGAAAACGAAAAGCCCAGCAGACTACGTCCAAGATGAAGAAACTTTCTCGCGCATGTAAGTTCCCGGTCTACCTGAGAAGCACGCTCATACACTCGAGGATCGTGTCCAACTGTTCCTCCGCACTGTTCTGCGGATCATTCCCGACGCGTGCAGCCGTACGTCACTGTATGTATGCGCGTGTTCCGAGATACCCCGCCCACAGGAGGTCTCCCAACATGTCGGTACCGCCAGCTGCCTCACGCTTACTGGTGCGGAAACGGCCCCAGGGGCACAACAAAAATCAGGTGTACCGACAGCTACTGACGCGGAGAGCTCGTCGCGCCATTCCTGCAAACGTCGATTTTTCTGTGGTACAGAAGGCCGCCTGCTGTACTCCCGCCTGCTGTACCCAGTTGGGGTACGATTTGCGTTTTGCAGGAAAGGCGCGACGAGGAAGCTCTCGGCGTCAGGAGCTGTCGGTACACCTGATTTTTGTTTTGCCCCCGGGTCCTCGCCCGCAATGTATTGCCTAGAGTTCGCGCCGCTTCCACATGTTACACGTGTCTTGCATGCGGTACAGATACGTGAGCGCTTGATGGTCGGTGCAACATCAAAACGGTGGTCTCACAAGTAAGGGCGCCTGTGGGTGACAGCCCAGACAACTGCAACGTATTCTTTCAACGTGGGGCTGTCATGGCCTTGACAACGTGAAAAGCGTTGTTTAGTCAGAAGCATGTCCTCACAGAACAAATCAAATTCGTCTGGATGCAAACACGGCGCGGCAAGACGCCGTCCATCATTTCTCGTACACGCTATTTAGTCAGAAACATCTCGCAAGGCAACGCTATAGCTTGTACAGGTGCAGCTAGCCCCCATTCCTTCTCGCCCCCCCCGGTGTTTGCCATCGGGATTGGGTTTCGTCGCTTAGCAACGACAGCTTACAACTGTCTCTGGAAGTGAAAGCACCAGAAAATATATTAATTCATCCGCAGCTGTCATCAATACGCAAGGAAGTAAGCACAAGATCCCGAAAACCCTTAGCAGGATGCAGCGCACCCTTCATGCGACTCGCCGGATATCTCACGGCGCTTCGCGCTTGGTGATGTGAGAGCCTGGTCCGGTGAGAACCCGGCGTGCTCCGTCCCGGCTTTGTATGGATGCGAGGTCAATGGCCTAACGACTACGGCATGCATGACTACGAGTACACCCCCTCCCCCCTCCCGCCTTTCTACTCTTGCGCTTTTACCAACACAATTGTTCACCTCCATGTTGTACGTCACGGAATATAACAGGATTATTCTCATGTTCATGTGCTCGTCACGCATTTTGCTTGTCACCCCACCTAACCGACTTTTTGTTTCATGTCGTTGCGCGCCCATGCCTTCCCTTTCCCTACGTGCTTTGGAACAGTTTTTGGTACTCAATGCTGCAGTTCATGACGGGCCCTCGTCGCATAGCCTCCGGACTCCTGACCATCAAGTCGCACTACGCGAACCTCAAGATCATGCGCTTCCTGTCCCCGTACGCCTGCGGGGACGTCAATCTCATCGTGGAGGACACCCCGGCCGCAGACGTGCACGTCGACGGTGCCGAGCTAGGCGCATTTCTCGACGAGATGGACGGATCAACCCTCAGCGTTCGCATGGGTCGCGAAATTGCTGGCAATGTTCTCGGGCTTAGCGCTTGGTGTGGTGTTGGGTGGGAGTGGGAGGGAGCAGGTTGCTTGTACATAGCGTTCGGCAATAGTCTATAGGCAGTCCATCTTGTGAAGCGGTGGCACTTTTCTGTTGTTACTGTGTGTTATCGAGGCACGCGTCATGCGCCTCCAGGTCGATAAGTACGTGCGTACCTTGGACGTGATACACACAACGCAGAGGTTGTTTTGCGTGTCGCCGGGGGGAGGGGCACCCAAGTATGGAGGTGCGACGAACAAGAGGCAAGTAGGTTTGGTCGGAGCTTCATTTCGTTGAGTTAGAATGTGGGCTTGAGCGGGTACATGCAAGTTGTGTGAACCTGAAGGCAAGGGGTGCGATTTTTTGGTAGTGAAGGAATGGTTTGATGCCTTTTGTTTTTGGTCGTTTTTGTGCTTTATGTTCGTAGATGGTGTGGTTCACGATGCGTTCTGAGTTGGTTGGTGCACGTCGTGACTACGTGTTGCAATGTCGAAAGTGGTCGTCCAAGTTTGGGTTGTGAGCCCCAACATTGTGGATTTTTATCGATGGATTGGGTTTTGGGATGCATCCTACTGTAAATGGTGTCGATGAGCGTTTTTGTACGCGTAGGAGCACTTAATGCTGCTGCGAGAGACGCGACAAGAAGATTAATGAAATATATATTCAAAAGGAAAATCTCTAATTTTTCGGCGCCGTTAGTACAACTGCCATGGTCTCTACAGGGTTTTCCCAGGGTGTGTACCCCGCGAGGGTCCCTGAGTGGCAGGGTACGCAGAGAGTGTGGGATCGATACGTTGGCAGAGTACTGTTAAGGAGTGTTGCTGTATGGCACAGATAAGGTACACAATCGGTCTAGATTAAGATGGGGGACGTCAGGAGGTATACCCACTTATGACGTACCCCATCGGGACTTTGCTATCTGCGTGCCCCCAGGTTGAGGGCAATCCGCCTCACCTCAGACCTGTAGCAGACCCGCTTCTGCAATAACAAGCAACCTTCCCATCTCAACGTGCTCGTGGACAAGAGTGTCTACGGCAGAATCTACATCTACTACATCTGGGAGGCAAGCCACCGTTGGGCGGGCATTCCTTTTGACTTGGCGTCAGTCTGGCAGGCACGGTAAGAGAGAATTGGACGCGATTCTTCCCTTTTCGTGCGCCGAGGCACGCTTTGCTCACGACCACCACGTTGCTTGTTGTTAGGTCTCACCACCCACGAGAATTTAGACTTCGCCCTTATTGGCGATTACCTGCGGGATGCCGGCTCATGATGCTTTCGCTCGTCGCTCACGAGACTGGGACCTTGCTAGTGATACGCGCATAGGAGGGCGCCGCGGTGATTCTCCCGATTTTTCTTACATGAAATGCCCATCACGAGCCATTTTGTCTGCTTCGGGAGTGCATGAAGTTCTTTCTGTGGCGGATACGTTGTGGCGGCAGCGGCCTGAGCTGCAACCCCTGTTTAGTGGGGCTCGAGATGACAGCATGCTCCCCGCTTCTAACACTGCTCCTACTGTTTTTCTGCCGGCTTACCTGCCTGCATCCGCCGACTTCCCCGTGGTGCTCTCTGATTTGACTCTACGTATTTCGACATGGCGAATTTTATGTGTACACAAGTTGGGCGTTCGTTACACCACCGATCTGCCCTTCATCTTTCGAGAACATCTCACTTTTTTTTTGGGGCCATCGGCTATGCATGTAAAAGACCTCGAGTTGGAGCCTTTGCTGCCGCGCAAACCCACTGCGGTCTTTCCCCGCACCTCAGCGCCTGTTGCGGCAAAACGTCGTGCTGCGCTGCGCGAGTTTTGGACAGACAAACTAGTCTCCTCGTATAACACAGGCCCTTTTGTGCTAGCTTCTACTGCTGTTGGTACATGGCATGGAGTGCTTCTGGATGCTTTTTCTTATTGGTTGGATCCGCTTCAACCAAGGGTACATCAAGCTTTTCTGGCCGGGCGTATGCTCTCTTGCGGATATCTTCGCTTTCCGTTTGGACCCAGGCAGGACCCTCCGGCCGTTGCACAAGGGAATGCGATAAGCCGGAGTTCACCAGGCAACGGGCAGCTTGCAATGAATACTCGATCCTCGGCTACATCCTGGTAGATTGGGGGGGCACGCAGATCCCAAAGCTGCACGTAAGTGCGATAGATATAGGTTCGGTCGAGTACTTCCTCATATGGGCAAACATCGACCGATCTAGAGAGATGGAGGGTAAGAAACAGAGGAAAGTGTTCCGGTGGAAAGTAGAGCGTTTGGGAGACGAGGGGACATGGGATGAATTCCAGAAG